AAAAAAAAAAAAAAGAAAAGGAAAATTTTCCACATACGTTTACGGTTACAAATGCAATGGATTGATCGTTCCAGATAACTAAATCGATTTAAACGAACTAACCAACGTGAACAAATTTAAACTGGTTTTATAATCGATTACAAAAAAAAAATAAAAAAATAAAATAAAAATAAAAATAAAATAAAATAAAAATTTTAAAAATATATATATATATAATAAAATACTATAATATTAAAATATAAAATAATATACTAAAAAAAAAAAAAATAAAAAAAATAAAAAAAAAAATTTAATATTCTTCCTTTATTTTTTTTTCTTTTTATTTTTTTTTTTTTTGGTGTATGATAAAATAAAATATTATTTCTCTTCTTCTTAATTTTTTATTATTCTATTTTATTGATTTTTTATTATTTTATTTTATTGGTTTTTTTTATTATTTTATATTTTCAGTTTATTTTTTTAGTGTTTTGTTTTATTCCTTTGGATTTTTTTTTTTTTTTACTTGTTAACAGAATACTCGAGATTATTTCGTACCGGTGATTATGCAAGAATCGTCAAAGGAAGTATGGTATACGAGGGGCGTGTCGATTCGCAAGTCAAAATTCGAGGACACCGAGTTGATTTATCCGAGGTGGAAAAAATTATTTCGAGACTATCGGAAATCGATAAAGTTGTCGTACTTTGTTACAAACCAGGTGACATATCACAGGTAACAATTCCAAATATATCAACAGTATACACACATATATACATATACATATATTTAATATATTTAATAAATTTAATAAATTTAATAAATAAATAATTATTAAATATATTAAATTTATAAATTCAAATTTATTATATATATATATATTATTATTATTATTAACTGTACCGCGATCCTTCCATTCACGGTCTTCGTATCCTATTTCTTTCAAGGTCCCTTCTAAATTTTATATATAACAACTTATACCGCCATCTGTTAGAATCTTATCGAACTAACAGAGATAATCATGACTCTTTGTTTATAAACAAATAATTCGCGATTAATAAAATAATATTGCGATTATAAATTGAGATATAAACTATCCTATCTTTCAAGTTGGATGAAATTGCACACAATGTGCAACATTTGATTAAAATCGGTTCAGTAGTTTAGAAGTCCATTGCGGACAAACAACGTGACAAGTAATTTATATATATAAACTATCCTATCTTTCAATTTGGATGAAACTGCACAGAGTGTGCAAAATTTTATTAAAATCGGTTCAGTAGTTTAGGAGTCCATTGCGGACAAACAACGTGACACGTAATTTATACATATTAAGATATTGAAATCTCTAGCACTTGAATACGCTATCTGGTGGCTAAATTGAAAATTAGAGTACATAAGCCAAATTTTGCTATGCCACGCCCTTGCCAAAGATCCCAATAAAAACCCCAAACATAACTTTCAATTATTTCTTTTTTAAAATGAAAATATTTTGCGTCATATCTATTGATAATATGAATAAATAATTATTATAATATTAAATGAATTATTATTTATTATATGTAAACACACTTTTTCTACGTTTTTTTGTTTGTTGTTGTTGTTAATGTAATATTTGAAAAAAAAAAAGAAAAACAAAAACAATGTATCTTTTCTTTTCTTTTTTCTTTACTAAAACAGGAATTATTGGCGTTTATAACGGTAAAGGATGATACGAAGATTTCCAATCGAGAGATCGAAGTTACATTGCAAAAGAGAATGCCAATTTATATGCAGCCGCAAGTTATAATCGTTAATCACATACCACTTTTAACGAACGGTAAAACGGATCGACAGACACTTCTAAAGCAATATGAATCATCTATGATAGTTAATGGTAATTAACGTATTTTCTCTATCCTCTTTCCTAGTTATTTGTTTTTTTTTTTTCTTATTCTTATTCTTATTTTTATTCTTATTTTTATGTTTCCTTTAATCCACCACTTATTTTCTTTTCAATTATCAAACCCCAGACACACGAGTTATTTCATAAGAATTTCAAGAAATTCTTGATTTACACGACGTAACATTTGTCTGCGATTATTATCATTATCATCATCATCATCAGTTTGATCTTTAAATAGTTAAACATTTTCTATACAAATGTTGGTAAATGACTTTTTAACAATTCAACTCAACAACAACAACAACTCACACAATTTTATCAAATCTCTCACGTGTCTGTCTCTCTGTATTTTTATTTCCTATGTTGTTGTTGTTATTATTATACATAATGATGATTATTTCTTTTATCAAACAATGTTTGCATTTGTGTTTGTAGGAAACAACGAAATAGCTAATTGCGATTATACAGGTGTATCTGAAGAAGATCTATCCAAAGCTAAAGTATTGTTTCCCACGATTGCAACGGTGATTGGTGCTAGCAGTCGTGGTACGGTTAATTTAAATGGAAACTTTTACGAATTAGGTGGCAATTCATTGAATTCAATTTATACCGTTACGAAATTAAGAGATCAAGGTTATTACATAGGTATTACTGAATTTATTACTGCTAAAACAATGAGTGATATATTAAGACTGATGAAACGTAACGTTAACGATGATAATTTGAAAGAGAACATTGACGAGGAACAAAGATATTGTGAAATGTTGAACGATTCTCACAAAGATGATGCCATTAAGTGAGTATTGTTATCGAATAATTTATAGAGGGTAGAGGTAAGGAGTAACATCTCTGTATATGAAAAAATGTCCGTCGAAATGCATTCAATTAGGGGTGGCGCCACAGTAGCTTGAGGGTAAATTTTAAATGAAGCGCCAAATATTATTAGAGTAGGATTGAGAAATAAACAATTACAATACATTTACAATTGCTACATTCATACTATACCAAGTGTCTACACCAGCGCCATTCTGGAAGCTTTTTGAACTATTATTTATAGCATACGCTGGACACTTTTTCAAATTTTCTCCCATAAGAGATGATACT